AAATGTCATAACCCGTTGCGTATGAAGACATTTTTGATATTAATGTAATTAAACATAAAAAATACTTAAAAATGATTAAAACTGANTTAAAATATAAAATAGAACTACACTGAAACGAAATCGATTTCGCCGCCATTATAATCCTCCTGAATAAGGATCGTTTTTGTCTCAAACAATTACAGTGTAAACAAGGAACTAAGTAGAAAAAAATTAATAAAATACAGTTATCCCTCGTATAACACAGTAGTTACGTTCCGAAAAGTGCTGCGTTATGTGAATCCGTGCTATACGAAACAAGAGAATAATGCAAATCATAGTGTTAGGTTTCATAATGTTAACAAACGTACACTATTCTTTTTCGTTATCAAGAGAAATATATTTATTAAAGCAATCGATAATTAATTAACAATCACATTTAAAATACTGTATTTACGCGTTAATATTAATTAAGTTTATTTAAACGAGGACGTTTTCTTTTTACAAAGTATCGTCACCTGCTAACCTTTTTTCTTGATCTTAATCAGAAATATCAACTACGTCTTCATATTATTTATTTTTATCATAAAAATTTTCTATCCACCTTTGTGATTTCTTTAAAATATATTTATTATCTCTCGAAATGTATGCTTTATATGTTATAGTTTTTTCTATGCTGTATTGTATTGTAAGTACAAGTAATGTTATACTGCACTCCTAAAGAGTGGTGCGCATATTAAAGTTGTTTTGTTGTCTGTTGTATATTATTTATTAACTAATCATATAGAAATTATGGAAATAAATTGAAAATATAATAAATAAATAGTTAAAAAGATCTACAAGTATTGATATTTACAAATGCATACAAACAAAATGTTTTGTAATCCATTTATGGATCACAAGAGCATAATTACGTTGAATTGCCTGCAGATAATCATTAATCTAATATATTCTTATGTCGTCATTTTCTGTGATGAAATCAAACCAATAAATTCAAGTTTTTCTAGTATGGTGATAAGTTACAGAGTATTAAAAAATTGTGAAAAACTATGTTATATTTTATTAAAACAAATACAATTTTGTACTGTTATCAAGGAAGAATGTTTAGTTTTGAAAATATTAAAAGCAAGACTTATAAAAGTATTTGAATAATCGTAAGAAAGACGGTAACAATGCAGAAATAGGAGAAAGGTGTCAGATAAAAATTTTAGGCAGATCAAAGCAAGGCTACGCACAACAGATGCGTTTTTGGCTTCTCTACCGTAATCAAAAGGAGATCTAAATAGGCCATGAAGAGTGGTCAGAAACATCTCATTTCTCATTTCCACAGAGCGTTTTAGCAAGACAAAGAAACTATACACACAGATACTGTACCTTCATTATTCTATTTGTCAGAATCATTTGTAGAAATGATTCTATTTGAATTGTCGCTGTTCGTCTTGTTTTCTTTCAACATTTTCAGAAAATATGCCTTTCTTTTCATTTATGCACTTTCTTGCGAACCCGTACCATCACATTTTATAGAAAATGTCTCTAAAGCTAACAAATTACTTTAAAATAACCGTAAAAGCTCGTTTTAGCAAAACGAGTCATTAGTTTATACGAGTCATAGTTTATCGGTTTCCACTTAAACCTAATGTTGCGTGAATATGTTGAAAGTATTTACTTTAAAAAATTTATTATTTCCTATCTACTTTCGAGATTTTTCTAAAATATAATTATTGTCTTTCTAAATGTGTTATTTAGAGAGACAATAATCATATGACGATTATTCTACTAAAAATTACTTTTTCATCATCTTACAGAAAATTTTAACTGTCGTGAATATTTCTGTAAAAAACGACAGATCCTATAAAAAGAAACGTATTTATAACAAAATACGTTTTGTTAATCCTTTACCGCTTAATATTTTATGACAATGACTGTATCATGTCTTTTCTTTTCCAAACTTTTTGAAATTATTCCAAACCTCCAATTTTTTTGCAACATTCATTGGGTCTAAAAATCAAATTAAATATTTAAAATATTTTTATTAATGCATTAATACAGTGGGTCTCGTCATTCGAATGTAATTCATTCCAGCAGGCTGTTCGAATCCTAAATTGTCCGAAGTCTGAATTAATTTTTTCCATTAGAAATAACTAAATATGAATTAATCCGTTCCCAGACATTAAACNTAGACGATATTATTCATGATATCTAAAAATTCTAATATTATTACACTAAGAATATTATGCATGGCTATTTGATGAAAGAGAATCCTTGAGTTAAGAGAAGAGATCGTTCCGTAACCCACTATGTAAATTAAATTTTCCACTCGAAGCCTTGTCCAGTGTACTTTAGAGTATTCTTACATAGACTACGTCTTTGTTTAAAACACAAATATAACAAACATACAAATAATGTTAACTGAGGAGATGTAGCAGTCTACTTTGTCTATTTGCGCAAACTTCCGCATTATCTTACTTTGCTTGCTTTGCATAAGCGCTATATATACATCCTGTGTATTCCGGCGATATTTACGCAAAAGTATGGATTTACGCATTTAAGATTTGCACAGAGATCTGTCTATATATAGAAAGTATTCATATACAGAATAATTATTTGTATATTGTCGACTCGAGAAAAGTGTTTGGAATTATCCATCTACTTTACAATATGGAAAAATTAATTTTCTATGTATTAGTAAATTCATAAAAACATGTAAACAACTAAAGCAATTTGTCTAACGTTTTTGATCTGTTTAAGGCTAACATTGATCTTTGATATTATCACACAGGCTATATTATATTGTTATCTTTCAAAATATTATAAATTTTTTAATTGAATGATAAAATCATTGGCGAATACTAAACATTTTCTGAATAATTTTAAAGGTTTATTTTAATTTAAAGTATTAAAAAAAGTTATTTTATCAAATAATTTTTAGTTTTAATAAATCAATGACTTAAGCATTCTTATACAGTCGACTAATTAATATAATGACTTCATTTAATATATATTGAAAGTTATAGTAATTTATACTGCAATAATTACGGAAAAGTAAAGTATAAATTTCTCAGTTTTGCTATTATAATTAACAATCTAACAGTTTTTCGTCAGTAATTATTTATGCACATCATGTTTATATAATGTCGACCTGGCACAAATTAATAAGATGAATTAAAAAGAAAAAAATAGAATGCTTTTCGATTACATTAACACCTAAAGATTGAGAGCACGATTAAGAATTTCTTCTATATTTAATGACAAAATTTTAATACAAAAGTGAAGAAATATAATCAAAATGGAATTATTTTTCTAATATTTTATTAGAAAACAAGAATAAAACTAGTAAAAATTTACTATTTATTAAATTTTTTTCTTTATTTAAAAAAAATATATCAGCATTATCAAAAACAATTAAAGTTTTGTTTGATATATACTTTTATTTCTAAGTTAATTAAAGTAATAACTTTTAATAATGTTGTGTTAAATTTATCTTTAATAAATAAATTATTTTCGTCCAATTGAGTAGTAAAATCTCAAGAGGGTTTTATTGAAATTTTTCTGTTTGTAACTCCTGTGAAAAAATTAATCAATTAATGGAATAATATTCTACAAGTTGGCACTTTAAATAAAAATATATTATTATTCTAAACAACAAATCTTAGGAATTAATTTTATAGGTTACATTTTTTTAATCTTAAACCTTAATTAGCTCTGTCAAGGTTATCACGTGATATTCGGTCAATATATACTTTAGATGCGACGGGAATGATTATTGATTCGTCAGTGACATAATGAATCTCTCTCTTGCATTTGTGATGTTATTAATTGCGTTTTTCAGAAAGAGGGATGAGAAAATAGAACTTTCGAAATACCCCGAATGGGAATACGATTACATTATTGGTGAGTTGTATTTTAATTTTAATATGATTTTTANTTTCGCCCCGGAAAAAAGTTTTGAAAAAATTTGGAGACAAAAACCATTCCAAAAATTCAAAAAAAAATTGGACCGCATTTTATGTAACGCTATGCAACTTGCCCGAGATATCTCGGGACATGTCCTTAAGGTTAAACAATACATGTGTAACAGAGAGAAAGAGCAGTATTGTACGGCTTTGTCTAGAATGGCGCAAAGCGAAGGATCAGTGTTAGAATGGGATGAAAACGCATTATAAAACTATTACACTTATCAACATTAGCGATGAATTTGGAAAAAGTTGAAATTTATAGACGTAGTCTTTTGGGCAGATGTATTAACTATAAAGATGCCACAGTATTACCCACAGCGTGGAAATAGACAGTTGAAAAAAAATTATTAGGAAATAATGCATAATGTCCATACAATCAAAAACTGATATTGTGAATGTGATATTTTTCTTTTCCGTTTTTATCTGTTCTATTAATTTGTTATTTTAAATTGTATATATATTAATGTAATTCTTTTTCCCATACAAATAGGTCAATGTACCAAAGAATTTTGTATCTTTTAAATGTGTTCTTAACTGTTCTATATGTTATCTGTATTTTATGAATATCAAAATCCCGAAAACAGCCTGTAAAACAGGTTGAAAACAATAATTAATCCTCATATATAATCCTTAGTGAACTAAGGTGTTTTTATGTAGGTTAATTAAGAAGCATCTAGTTGGGTATTAATTAAGCACAGCATTATCAAAAACAATTAAAGTTTTGTTTGATATATACTTTTATTTCTAAGTTAATTAAAGTAATAACTTTTAATAATGTTGTGTTAAATTTATCTTTAATAAATAAATTATTTTCGTCCAATTGAGTAGTAAAATCTCAAGAGGGTTTTATTGAAATTTTTCTGTTTGTAACTCCTGTGAAAAAATTAATCAATTAATGGAATAATATTCTACAAGTTGGCACTTTAAATAAAAATATATTATTATTCTAAACAACAAATCTTAGGAATTAATTTTATAGGTTACATTTTTTTAATCTTAAACCTTAATTAGCTCTGTCAAGGTTATCACGTGATATTCGGTCAATATATACTTTAGATGCGACGGGAATGATTATTGATTCGTCAGTGACATAATGAATCTCTCTCTTGCATTTGTGATGTTATTAATTGCGTTTTTCAGAAAGAGGGATGAGAAAATAGAACTTTCGAAATACCCCGAATGGGAATACGATTACATTATTGGTGAGTTGTATTTTAATTTTAATATGATTTTTAAAAATTTGAATAGAAACAATAGCTAATTTTAATCTCTATATATTTTGATTTTTAATACTTTTATTAAAATGAGTTTAATTCAAAATTATTATAATAAGTGATAAAAATATTTAATATTATGCAACGATTTTTACGTTATTAAATATTTAACCTTTAGAATTAGGAACAAAAAGAAATTTTTATAAATTTTTCTACGTTTAAAATGTTAAAAATTTGAAATTCGTAATACTGTAATTTACTTTTAAATATTACAAAATGTTTACTAAATAACTGTTATTTACAAATATTTTAAACAAGTTATATAAATTGTTCATTGTTACAATTAATATATTTTTATTTTAAAAATTTAGACTTTACTTCAAAATAGACGATATTATTCATGATATCTAAAAATTCTAATATTATTACACTAAGAATATTATGCATGGCTATTTGATGAAAGAGAATCCTTGAGTTAAGAGAAGAGATCGTTCCGTAACCCACTATGTAAATTAAATTTTCCACTCGAAGCCTTGTCCAGTGTACTTTAGAGTATTCTTACATAGACTACGTCTTTGTTTAAAACACAAATATAACAAACATACAAATAATGTTAACTGAGGAGATGTAGCAGTCTACTTTGTCTATTTGCGCAAACTTCCGCATTATCTTACTTTGCTTGCTTTGCATAAGCGCTATATATACATCCTGTGTATTCCGGCGATATTTACGCAAAAGTATGGATTTACGCATTTAAGATTTGCACAGAGATCTGTCTATATATAGAAAGTATTCATATACAGAATAATTATTTGTATATTGTCGACTCGAGAAAAGTGTTTGGAATTATCCATCTACTTTACAATATGGAAAAATTAATTTTCTATGTATTAGTAAATTCATAAAAACATGTAAACAACTAAAGCAATTTGTCTAACGTTTTTGATCTGTTTAAGGCTAACATTGATCTTTGATATTATCACACAGGCTATATTATATTGTTATCTTTCAAAATATTATAAATTTTTTAATTGAATGATAAAATCATTGGCGAATACTAAACATTTTCTGAATAATTTTAAAGGTTTATTTTAATTTAAAGTATTAAAAAAAGTTATTTTATCAAATAATTTTTAGTTTTAATAAATCAATGACTTAAGCATTCTTATACAGTCGACTAATTAATATAATGACTTCATTTAATATATATTGAAAGTTATAGTAATTTATACTGCAATAATTACGGAAAAGTAAAGTATAAATTTCTCAGTTTTGCTATTATAATTAACAATCTAACAGTTTTTCGTCAGTAATTATTTATGCACATCATGTTTATATAATGTCGACCTGGCACAAATTAATAAGATGAATTAAAAAGAAAAAAATAGAATGCTTTTCGATTACATTAACACCTAAAGATTGAGAGCACGATTAAGAATTTCTTCTATATTTAATGACAAAATTTTAATACAAAAGTGAAGAAATATAATCAAAATGGAATTATTTTTCTAATATTTTATTAGAAAACAAGAATAAAACTAGTAAAAATTTACTATTTATTAAATTTTTTTCTTTATTTAAAAAAAATATAATAATAAATAATAATTTGAAGTTTTTTTTTATAATACTTTGTTATTAAAAACCGCATTAGGAAATATAAACAGAAGACACACCCATCAATAATAAAAACTTACTCTCTTATCAGATAAACTACAAATATTCTATTTAATATTCTATAGAAATATTGAAAAAGATTTATAAAAACATTATACATCTTTAAAAATATCTATAAAAACTATTATTTTATGTATTATCGGCATTCGAAACCCAAGTTTGAATATTAAAGAATATTTACCTGATATACAGTATAATAAAGGATTGGGCGTCGGATTAGCAACCCGTTCCTGTAAAAATATTTAAGTCTTTTAAGACAAAACTAAAATAAAATACACGAAAACCCATATTTAAAATAAATAATTCTTATAGAGATCTTACATTATATCTTAATACCTTAATTAATCTATTGATTTATTAAATCTAACTTGTAATGTTACTACAGACAATTAATAAAATCATTAACATTAAAATATTTGCTTAACTTATAGTGGGAGGAGGATCTGCTGGGTCGGTCGTTGCCAACAGGTTATCAGAAAATCCTCATAATAAAGTATTGTTATTAGAAGCGGGGAGCAATGAAAACGAATTTTCTGAAATACCTGTTATGAGTGTTGGTTTATTATTAACTTCAATAGCATGGAAATATGTAACGGAACCTCAGCAATTTGCTTGTTTTGGTTACCAAGGCAGTGTAAGTTTATTATAATTACTTCGTAATGAGTAATAAAATGAATTTCATATATTTAGTTATATCTATCACTAATTAAGTCTTCAAGATGGCCTAGAGGAAAAGTGTTAGGAGGCACAAGTTCAGTCAACTTTATGATATACAGTAGAGGGAATCGACAAGACTACGATAATTGGGCTCGAGGAGGAGCGCATGGATGGAGTTGGGAAGAAGTATTCCCTTATTTCCTTAAATCTGAAGATAATAGGGATATTAATGTTCTAATGAATGGTAAATAGTTAAATATTATTATTTATCTATTAATTAATTAATTAAATAGTATTTTAAATATGCAACGCAATAAAAATATTTAATTTTTAAAACTATTTTAATTTTAGCTAAACAATTAAATAAATGTTGAGATAAAAATATGCTAATTTTCTAATTTTTTATAAACAATTACACTTGTGTTGAAGTCTCTTTCCTTCAGGTAAAGAGCAATGAGGAAAAAAAATAAAAAATAAAAATAGAAAAGTGTAGACGTTTAAATTTTAAAGTTAAAATTATTACTTTTTACAGTTAAAAGTAATATCATTAATATTACGTGTTTTATTAACTTTAATATTTCTATATTTTATGTTTACATCACCTGTTACGCAATTATTTAGAAAATCAATAATTAAAATTTTGTGATTTTAATACATTTTTTCTTTTAATATTGAGACTAGTGATCTTTCTCACGTCTTTCTTAATTATCCGCAATTGCGAAAGACGTGATAAACATCACTAGTCTCACTGTTAGAGAAAGAAACTTTTACTTATTGTCATATATGTTCCATTTTAATAATTTTATTAAACAGTTTACTAACACGTTTTCTTAGAAACTTATTGAGATAAATGAATTATATATAGGCCTACATTTTACTAAAAGTAAATAACATTTTCTTTACATATGTATTTGTATTGTATTTACATGTATACCTTTTGACATTGCTGTTTATTAAATACTAGCAGACCCAGCCACGCGTTGTTGTGGCTCAAAATGTATCTATTATAAATGTATAACACTTCCCCCGTGGGGGGGGGGAAATTTTTCGAAAAATTTCTCTTTAGTGTACATTCTGTTGACGTATCCTATTAAAACGTAATCAAAAACGCAAAAAACTGCATCTAAAATAGTATAAATAGAAGCAGAGTTCTTTACGTTAAGCCTTAATCCTAACCATCTCTCTTCAGTGGGGTTGAATTTCGACATGTATATTATATAAAAACACGTGCGTATTCGAATGCAGCGTTGTGTGAAAATTTCAAAGTAATCGGTAGGAATAAACGAACATTACATTTTTATTTATATAGATAGATAGAAGATGATCTGCTTTAGTTCATTTTCACAGAAAAGCATAATGCCTCACAGAAAAGCAAACTTAGGGCGTCATANTCCATTTTAATAATTTTATTAAACAGTTTACTAACACGTTTTCTTAGAAACTTATTGAGATAAATGAATTATATATAGGCCTACATTTTACTAAAAGTAAATAACATTTTCTTTACATATGTATTTGTATTGTATTTACATGTATACCTTTTGACATTGCTGTTTATTAAATACTAGCAGACCCAGCCACGCGTTGTTGTGGCTCAAAATGTATCTATTATAAATGTATAACACTTCCCCCGTGGGGAGGAAATTTTTCGAAAAATTTCTCTTTAGTGTACATTCTGTTGACGTATCCTATTAAAACGTAATCAAAAACGCAAAAAACCGCATCTAAAATAGTATAAATAGAAGCAGAGTTCTTTACGTTAAGCCTTAATCCTAACCATCTCTCTTCAGTGGGGGGAATTTCGACATGTATATTATATAAAAACACGTGCGTATTCGAATGCAGTGTTGTGTGAAAATTTCAAAGGAATTGGTAGGAACAAACGAACATTACATTTCTATTTATATAGATAGATAGAAGATGATCTGCTTTAGTTCATTTTCACAGAAAAGCATAATGCCTCACAGAAAAGCAAACTTAGGGCGTCGTACTCGTAGCGCCATCTGTTGGACATAAAAGCCTTAACCTAGATGATATATTTTAATTTATATTAATGTTTAACGGAATAATATACAGCCTACGTCCATTCTGAAGTTCCATTATAAATATTGGTGAAAGAATTTTTGAAATCGGATGAGTAGTTTCGGAGATTACCCGCTACATACAAACTTACAAACATTATTTCTTTATAATATTATATTTGTATAGATAAACTGTTGAAAGAAAAATTTCAAAAACATACTTTATTACTTAAAATGTTATTCTGACAAAAAAAAAAAAAAAAATCTGGAAGAAAGTAAAACCAGAACAAAAATTTGTTTTACCTGAAACTTTTGAAATGTTGTGGTATAAATTTTAGAATAGGAATGGGTTTGATACTTTACGATAAATGCAGTGTATATCTGATACTTTTATTAAAACTGTCAGCGTTGCTCATTCATGCTCATGTTTGTATCAAATCATATTTATTATTATTATCGAAGATTTTTGAACGAAATATTTTCAAATAAATAGTCTAAGTGGCCAAGATTTATCGAAAAGTTTATGTGATCAGAACAGGAAATATTTTTATTTCATGTCAAAGGTATTTGATTTGAAACTTGCGATTATTCTGCTTTTGTATGCTCTTATTCCCACGTCATATTAGGGCTAAATGACGTGGTCATTTAGCCCTAATATGATTTAGTTTTAAGGTCAAAATGAATTACCTTAAAACTTCTGCAGTTTCACAGGGGAATTTCAAGGGTGACCACAAAGCGAGAGTTTATTGTATATACTTACTGTAATACTGGGTGATAGATTTCATTCAGTCAAAAATTATTAAGTAGATTTATTATACATTATTTAAGATGAAAATTAAAGAAAAATTAATTAAGGGATTTTCGCGAATATTAGATGTAAAATGCAATTCATTTATATTTTGCTTTATAATTAGAAATTTTTGTTATTTTTTAATGTTCGGTGTTGTAAGGTTGCCGACGTTAAGGGGGAATAAAGTTTATCTAAAGTTTATCGTCAGAATGAGCCTAAGGGAAACCACGTATGTGGTCGGTGGCGAAGGAGGCAAATGAAGTACAAGTGTTTTACAAGAGAAAACCCGTTTATTTGTTCGAATTTATGCTTGCATCGATATAGGACAATTCCAAAATCTCGGTGCTCCTGTTTACGGCGAAGGTTCGGGTGATCGGTCGCAGCCCGAGCGGACGAGAAGGATCACAGGACGATGCAGAAGTTCGTTGTTAAGCTGCGGCGTCCTAGGTGATCGGCGGTTGCACAACACATCTGTTTTTAAATAGTAGTTAATTAAAATAACGCACGTCTTTTCTAGATATACAGTGGTGCGCCTCTTACTTCGAATGCTAAATTCGACATAAATTTTTTTCGGAGATCGAACAGTGCTTGAAGTGTAAATGCTGTCTATTATGTGTCCGTCATCTTACGCTCTCTTGTTACGATCATATATTTTCAGTGCTTTTCGTTTTATTTTTGGCGTGTTTGGTTATATATATATTGCGTATTATTTGTCTGTTTTAAACAATTTCTTCTTGCAATTTTTCTCGGTCGACAGTTTTTGGGCTTTCCGTACGTATTTTATCCTTCAGTTTAAAATTTATCGAATGAAATTTTTTAAACAATATTTGCGATGTACGCATCTTCCCCACACACATTACAAATTTTCTTTTTACTATTTGTATTGTGTGTATCTTTTCCGAGACTCGTAAAGCATAAGATGCTTAATATGCTTTTTTACCTGAAAACATTTCAACTTGGCTTTATTCAAACAAAATGAGAAATAAAAAGATTAAAATTAGCTTCTAAAGTAAGAGTACAATCGCACACTAGCAATACTGTGTTTAGTTTCACATCTATTGAGTATTAAGCAATGACATCTGTAAAAAATATGCAAAAAATTTTTCTTTCACCCAATATTAACCATAACATCGAAGAAGTGTGTTTGTTTGTTTAGTTAAGTTACGGCAACGCGACACTTGGGCGATATGTCTAGGGGGAATGCCTTCGCGGGAGGTCTTTTAAGAGTAACTGGCCCCTATTCAGGCGTTACAGACGTGGAGAAAACCCGGAAAACTCGACGGTGGCCAGCCCGTCCGGGCGAGGTGGGAACTTCACCGACCAAACTCCCAGTGTTCGGAGTGCGGAACCGCTTGGCAACTGGTAGGTCTTCCCGAGAAGTGTGTGGAAGCGACGAAGGCTAAGAGAAATGTTGTACTGTACGTAATAGCGACGATTAAGAAAAGAAAGGATCTATTGAGAAGCACAAAAGTGGTACACGTGTCGCGCATCTGGCTCCCATATTTATGATTCCGATGTCGACGGTATGGGACCAGTAAGCAATTTTCATTTTATTATACAGTATTTACGAATTTTATTTATGGTTTTCGTATTTTAATTTATTATAAAGTCATTTATTTCTGTTATTTATATCTTAAATTATATGTNCTTCCCCACACACATTACAAATTTTCTTTTTACTATTTGTATTGTGTGTATCTTTTCCGAGACTCGTAAAGCATAAGATGCTTAATATGCTTTTTATCTGAAAACATTTCAACTTGGCTTTATTCAAACAAAATGAGAAATAAAAAGTTTAAAATGAGCTTTTAAAGTAAGAGTACAATCTCACACTAGCAATACTGTTTTTAGTTTAACATCTATTGAGTATTAAGCAACGACATCTGTTAAAAATATGCAAAAAATTTCTGTTCCACCCAATATTAACCATAACATCGAAGAAGTGTGTTTGTTTGTTTAGTTAAGTACGGCAATGCAACACTTGGGCGATATGCCTAGGGGGAATGCCTTCGCGGGAGGTCTATTAAGAGTAATTGGCCCCTATTCAAGCGTTACAGACGTGGAGAAAACCCGGAAAACTCGACGGTGGCCAGCCCGTCCGGGCGAGGCCCGTACTCACCGACCAAACTCCCAGTGTTCGGGGTGCGGAACCGCTTGGCAACTGATGGGTTTTCCCAAGAAGTGTGTGGAAGCGACGAAGGCTAAGAGAAAGGTTGTATATTACGTAATATCGACGATTAAGAAAAGAAAAGGTCTTATTGAGAAGCACGAAAGAGGTACACGTGTGCGGATCTGGCGCCCATATTTATGATTCCGATGTCGACGGTGTGGGACTAGTAAGCAATTTTCATTCTATTATACAGTATTTACGAATTTTATGGTTTTTGTATTTTAATTTATTATGAAGTCATTTATTTCTGTTATTTTTATCTTAAATTATATGTGTATTGCTGTTTTAAGTTTATTGAAATGGGAATTCTTAAGATCTGGAAATGGATTAATAAAATTCAGTTATTTCTAATGGGAACATTTGATTTTGACTTCGAACGATCTGGAGTTCGAACGGCTTCCTTGAATGAATTAAATTTAAAGTATGAGGTACTAATGTATATTGTTTTAACTATTATTTATTGATAACTAGTTACCATTATTATTATTGTTTTATTTAAAACATATCAGTAATTTAATAAAAAAAATTAATTTTCTGTCTCCTTGTACTCATTCCATACATTATCAATGCTTTCAAGTCGATGTAACTGCGGTTTTTGATTTTTGATTGTAAAAAATTTATTGATGTTACTTTTCATTGTCAAGGTCACTATTAGAAAAGGAAGGAAATGAATAATTAATTGAAATATCAACTGTGTAATTCATTACAATAAATGCTTCATATTTCTCTTTAGCATCGGTTGGTTTTATCATCGGTTCGGCTTCATTTTTTGCCGTTTGTCATTATCAAATTCACTGCTGTGAATTCTGATTTGGCAAAATGCGTTTTTGACAGATAAAAATCACAATTATAATTATTTATCTAACATTTCTTAAGGATACCACGCTTCAGGAGGCTACCAAACAATTTCTTCTCCGAATTATATAACTCCTTTAGTAAAAGCATATATGGAATCCGCATTATTAAATGGACATACGATGAGAGACTTTAACGGGCCTATTCAAACAGGTAAACTGTTTTAAATTGTTTTTTTACTAAAACCAATTTATAATTTCTATTCAACGGTTGACCTGTTTTACAAATTATTTACATTTTTTCAAGGTTTTGCTTTTCCACAAGCATTTAAAAGGAATGGAAGGAGATGTAGCACTAACAAAGCATTTCTACAGCCAGTGAAAGATCGCCCCAATTTAACTATTCTCCTTTTTTCATTTGTTACCAAGGTAAGAAAATAACCGTTTTGTTTATTTTTACACGTTTTAGTAATAAACAAGCGTAAGAAATCTTTCACTTCGACTGGAGTCTCACCAGAATCATTGAGGGTATATTAGATTTTAAAATGACATATCTAAAAGTTAATAATTTCAGATAGAAAAAGCTAATAAGAATTCTAACAAACAATGTAGTTGCTTGCTTTCAAATTCGATCCATAATTATTACTAAAATAAATTTCACTGATATGAATGATAATGTTACAAGCTTTATTACTTTTAGATATTAGAAAGTAAATGTTATAAAAGTTATTAATACTCACATTTTTTGCTCAATTTGTTACATCTCTGTAAATCGTAGAAACTGAGTTAAAGACACTAATCGATGTTTTTATTTATTCATATCGATTCTTATGAAAATAAGCGGCAATAAATACATTCGAGCACTTTTTAAACATTTCTAAATGAAATCGGACCAAAGTGACATATAAGATAAATACGTTTAATCCAAATTCAGATGAGATTAGCCTGAAAGAATGAATAGACTTTATCGAAAACTCATACTTTTACTGCAATTGACAAATGTTTCTATGTTTAGAATTTATTTTACATTTTTGTTATCAAAAATCAGTAATAATTTGTATTTCTCATATTATTTTCTAGTAACAGTGTTCAGTGATTCAGAAAACATAATTCATAAACAGCCATAAATTTTAAAATGGCTTTTGTTTATTCAAAACTGAAATGCTATTGTGACGATTAGTGTAAGGCCAATGCTTTTAAGAGGCACCGAATTTAAATGTGTAAATTTCACAATATAATGTGATTTGCTTTATATTAATTAGACAATAGTCTACAATAAACATTTCTCTTCACAGTTAGCCTAACAAAGATGATGGAGTTAATATTACTCTATATAATTCCGAAAATATAAAGCTAATAAAAAAATATTTTAAATTCAGAGTATCTTTTTTAGAAAATATTGAAATAGGCCTATATTTTTTTTGTATTAGGAAAGGTTTCCGACACGTAGATGAAATTTGAATGATATGTGTAGCAATATTTCTCATTAACATTTATTTAATACAGACAAAAACATGCAGTTGCAATTGCAAAAACGTAATACTAAACTGTATTAATTTTTTCGTTAAAAGCTCGCAACATTTTGTGTTTTTACAATGGACATTATAAAAATATAATGTTGCCTAATTCAATACATCATGATACAAAGCATTATTTCAATTAATTTTCATTGTTTGAAATCAGCTATACTAAAAGTAAAAATATTAAATATGCCTTTTATTTTAGAAAAAAAAACGTAGAAATATCACTTATGGTAGCTGTCATTTCGTTATGAATGTATGTCTCTTTAATCCGACAAATTAAGTTCGGTAGACTATTCCTACAGCTTTCAGGTTAGACACTTCTTTTATTGTTTTCACATATGCATTTCAGTATTATATAAATGCTAAGCTTCTCTTCAGTGCAATACTACAGATTATTAAAAAAACAATAGTTAGTGATTTGACAAAATTTCTCGAGTGTAGGTCTCGCGTATTTACTGATATAAAACTATCATAATTAAAAATTGTTATATTTATACACACATATGGTTCTATCTTCTAAAACCACGGTGTATAACGGACAACATTGGGAAGAGTTTTTAATACAGCCATTAAAAACATATAAAATACACTTTCCAAACATTCATACGGAAAACCTAATATATTAATATTTTTTATAATTTTTTCTCATAACATATTCTAATAAAACAACAATGTAATACAATACATGCCTACTTTTAACATGTGCTGATAAAATCTTATATAAGTACAACTTTTAAAGAATTTATATTTTCTATAACATAACATTTCAGTAACTGTAATTATAATCGTTTTTTTACTGGTTAATTACATGCATTATAGTGATATTAAAATCATTTTTAAGAGAATACATACATTATTTCATTATTTCACAATATATTACCAATCATTTTCTAATACGATACTTTGTATAACAAATACATTACAATCACTTTTTTTTATTTTAGCGTCCTTTATCATATTGTACCATTGTTGATATATTTGCATACCATTTGATATATTGATTAAATTTTTATCTTTAAATTTAAGTTTATACGTATTTTTTTTCTGAATGAATTCTTTTTATATTATTTCTTATATTGTTGAACCACGGAGAATTATTATATTTTAATCTTATTGCTGCTTCGTGTTCTTTAATTCTTAATTCTAACGTTCTACTAGTTTTACCTATATAATTTTTTTGTTTTTGGCAATTAGAATTAATTTTATATACCACTCCTGATTTTTTTAAATTATCAACATTCGTTTTATATTTATTATTATTATTGTAAATATTACGTGAAATTTTTTTGGTCAAAGATGGGGCCAAAACAATATTTTCTTTTTTTAAAAACCGACTACAACTATTGTAAACATTATTGATATAAGGAAACGCTTTATAATTCTTATTTTTTTATATTTGGTATTAAATCTGTTTTTATAATACTGGTTGTGCCACATTTTTAACTTGTAACTGGGGTAATTATTCAAAATAAACTTATTTTCTAATTCTTTTAATTCAATTTTACGATTCATATTCTTAGTAGTTCTTGTGTATATATTTTTTAGATCCATTATGTAGGTGTTCTTTTTTATAGTTTCAGGAATGCAGGATTGATAATTAATGGTTTTATTGACGTTACATGTTTTTTAAACGTTTTAAAAGAAAATTTGTCTATTTCATTAATTATTGTTATATCTAAAAATTTATTTGGTTATATTTTTCTAATTCAATATCAACTTTTATATCTTCATTTATATTATTTATAGTATTTAATATTATTGTATCATTCGTTATTTTATGATTATAAATTAATAAGTAGTCATCTACATATCTCATTACCATTTTAATACCAGGGATATTTTGTATTTTTTTTTCGATATTTTTTATAACTAATTCAGCCAGTTTTGGCCCCATTTTTGACCCCATACTGACACCATTTATTTGTCTGTAAAAATTATTATAAACTTCAAAATATAAGTTCAATAATAATTTTATAAGTTCAATTATTGTTTTATCAATTTGTAGTTGTTTTAGGTTGTTTTCTATTGATTTTCACTTTATATTCGGATACATATTTTTTACATCTAAACTAATTAAGGTATCTGATCTTTTTTTTTTATTTTTTGAATATTATTTATGACTTCATCAGCATTTTTTATGCTATTGTTAGAACCTTTAATGTTTTTTAATTGCCTTTTAATATAATTTTCTAGATTGTAAAGTATAGAGTATCTAAAGTCAACGATTGGTCTGTATTTCTCTTCTTCTTTATGTGTTTTTAATCTTATTTGTAATTTTGGAGTTCTATTATTATTAAATTAAATATATAATTTTATCAGTTTCTTTTATTTTATTTTTCAAGATGTGTGTCTTTTATTATTTTAGTTAAATCTTTTTTTATTTTTTCATATGGATTTATATTTAGTTTGACATATTGTTCATTATCAATTTGTTCTACAGTTTTATTCTTTAAATTATCACTATCAATTATTGTTAGTTATTTAGTTTTATCTGCTTTGATTATTGAAAGGTTGTTGGTTTTTAAAAGGGAATTAGTTCTCTTTATTCTTTCTTTATATTTATTTACTTTAAATTTATTTTTTCGATGAATTTGTTTTGCATTTTGAATAGTACTGCCTAGTTTAATAGGCACTACTATTCAAAATTCTAAACAAATAACAAAAATTTAGAAAATTTATATTATAAACATTTATATAAATATGTGGCGTAGTAAACACTAGTATTGTGTTTTATTCCAAAGACACATGGCAAATTTTCCAACGCACCTCAATGAACGAACACTCCTTAAAACACTATCTTTAATAAAATCAATCGCAGAAGCTACACCTACGAGAGAAAGAAATTATATCAACTTTAAAATTCTCAGAGCAGCGATATAATACAAATATGTAAAAATTAGAAGATTAAAACGAGCCCTGAAAAAATATAAGACAAACACTAAGATAGGATTGTTAGAAAATAAANATTTATTTGGTTATATTTTTCTAATTCAATATCAACTTTTATATCTTCATTTATATTATTTATAGTATTTCATATTATTGTATCATTCGTTATTTTATGATTATAAATTAATAAGTAGTCATCTACATATCTCATTACCATTTTAATACCAGGGATATTTTGTATTTTTTTTTCGATATTTTTTATAACTAATTCAGCCAGTTTTGGCCCCATTTTTGACCCCATACTGACACCATTTATTTGTCTGTAAAAATTATTATAAACTTCAAAATATAAGTTCAATAATAATTTTATAAGTTCAATTATTGTTTTATCAATTTGTAGTTGTTTTAGGTTGTTTTCTATTGATTTTCACTTTATATTCGGATACATATTTTTTACATCTAAACTAATTAAGGTATCTGATCTTTTTTTTTATTTTTTGAATATTATTTATGACTTCATCAGCATTTTTTATGCTATTGTTAGAACCTTTAATGTTTTTTAATTGCCTTTTAATATAATTTTCTAGATTGTAAAGTATAGAGTATCTAAAGTCAACGATTGGTCTGTATTTCTCTTCTTCTTTATGTGTTTTTAATCTTATTTGTAATTTTGGAGTTCTATTATTATTAAATTAAATATATAATTTTATCAGTTTCTTTTATTTTATTTTTCAAGATGTGTGTCTTTTATTATTTTAGTTAAATCTTTTTTTATTTTTTCATATGGATTTATATTTAGTTTGACATATTGTTCATTATCAATTTGTTCTACAGTTTTATTCTTTAAATTATCACTATCAATTATTGTTAGTTATTTAGTTTTATCTGCTTTGATTATTGAAAGGTTGTTGGTTTTTAAAAGGGAATTAGTTCTCTTTATTCTTTCTTTATATTTATTTACTTTAAATTTATTTTTTCGATGAATTTGTTTTGCATTTTGAATAGTACTGCCTAGTTTAATAGGCACTACTATTCAAAATTCTAAACAAATAACAAAAATTTAGAAAATTTATATTATAAACATTTATATAAATATGTGGCGTAGTAAACACTAGTATTGTGTTTTATTCCAAAGACACATGGCAAATTTTCCAACGCACCTCAATGAACGAACACTCCTTAAAACACTATCTTTAATAAAATCAATCGCAGAAGCTACACCTACGAGAGAAAGAAATTATATCAACTTTAAAATTCTCAGAGCAGCGATATAATACAAATATGTAAAAATTAGAAGATTAAAACGAGCCCTGAAAAAATATAAGACAAACACTAAGATAGGATTGTTACAAAATAAAGAAGAAATACAACACAATCAGCAATATGAAGAGAACAAATATAAAAAATTAATTAAAAAATTTCAATACCCAACTAAAATAGAACTTACAACTTGGAAAGAAGCTCTTATACTAAACAAAACAGAAATAAACCTACCAATAAACATCAAGGAAATACTATATAGAGGATTAGATTTCAACGGCCCCAATAAATGGGACGTCTTAAATATAATACCAAATCTAGACAAAATGTGTAATGATCTACCTGAAACAGAATCAACTATAATGAAAAGTAAACTAAGTAATGAAATTAAACCATATATAACTAAAGAAAGAAACAAAACAATAATAAAAGAACCAAGCTATCTNATTTTAACCTTTTAATTTGTAATATATACTAGTTTATTTACAAAAGATTAAAGCAGATTTTACATGTTTTTAAATTATACAAAGTGTAACCAAAAGGTACGTCTATATATCGTTTATGTACTCATTGTTTTATGTAAATTCTCCACTGTAATAAGTTAAAATATATATACTGTATTGTATTTTAGTTGACTGAAGAGGGGCAAAGCCCGAAACGAGTACAAAACAATGTGCCGTATTGACTCGACTAATAAAGGAATTTGATGGAAAATTTGCCATGTGTCTTTGGAATAAAACACAATACTAGTGTTTACTACGCCACAAATATAAAACAGGACACGGTTTCAAAAAACAAATTTATATAAATATTATATAATGGATTTTAAATTTATTACATAATATTTACTAATAATATATATAACATAAGATATTATATTACTGCATATTTAATTTATAATATTCTTTAAGCTTATATTGCAATAAGTAAAACCATTAAGTTTAACTTTTAGATTGTGTTTGACCAATATAAAGTTGCTAGAGCCGTTCGTTTCGAGCGTTTCGGCAAATCTTTCATCGTGTATGCCAGAAAGGAAATCATTGTGTCTGCGGGTGTCGTTAATTCTCCACAACTTCTAATGTTGTCAGGAATTGGTCCTAGAGAAGATTTACACAGATTCGGGGTAAATATATACTCTTTTATTAAAATAACAATAATTATTGATAATTTTAAATAATATTATAAAAACGATAATTATTAATTGATATTTTGAATGAAGATTCCCGTTGTTTCTGATTTACCAGTCGGATATAATCTGCAGGATCACGTAGTTACATTTGGAATGGACTTCTTAGTTGATGTTCCTTATACTTACCTTATTTATCGTTTTGTTAAACCAACAAATCTTGCTCGATATGTTAAACATGGAGAAGGTGAGATATTATTTAAAATTTGCTAAAAATAATTACTTTGTTCGAGAACTATATTGAAAATTTATGATCGTTATAAAGGAGTTTTAACTGTACCTGGAGGTTTAGACATCATAGGATATATAGATACGAAGTATGCAAATAAATCAGATGATTATCCCGATATCGAGATAAATTTTTACTCTTACGGTGCAGCAGCTGATAGAGGGCAATTTTTTCGTCATGTTCTCGGATTCAAGAAAGAGGTCAGTTCATTTAAGTTCCAAATATTAAATATATAAAATGCCGTGAGAAAATTTTGCACTAATATTTGTGCAGACATGGGAACGTTGTTATAAACCATTTTCATACCGAGACGCGTTTGGTATATTACCTATTTTGCTCCGTCCAAAAAGCCGAGGGTACATAAAATTAAGGAGTGCGAATCCTCATGACCATCCCATCATCCAACCTAATTATTTTTCTCGTTTTGAAGATGTTCTAGTTCAAGTTGAAGGTAAGAAATGCCTTTATAATAAAAATAATTTTAAATGTAAATAATATTATGAAATAAATTACATATCATTTGTATGATTTAGCCCTGAAAGAAATTCTCAGATTAGGCAACTCAATAGCGTTAAAAAAATACGGAGCTCGAATATTTCCATAATGGATTTTAAATTTATTACATAATATTTACTAATAATATATATAACATAAGATATTATATTACTGCATATTTAATTTATAATATTCTTTAAGCTTATATTGCAATAAGTAAAACCATTAAGTTTAACTTTTAGATTGTGTTTGACCAATATAAAGTTGCTAGAGCCGTTCGTTTCGAGCGTTTCGGCAAATCTTTCATCGTGTATGCCAGAAAGGAAATCATTGTGTCTGCGGGTGTCGTTAATTCTCCACAACTTCTAATGTTGTCAGGAATTGGTCCTAGAGAAGATTTACACAGATTCGGGGTAAATATATACTCTTTTATTAAAATAACAATAATTATTGATAATTTTAAATAATATTATAAAAACGATAATTATTAATTGATATTTTGAATGAAGATTCCCGTTGTTTCTGATTTACCAGTCGGATATAATCTGCAGGATCACGTAGTTACATTTGGAATGGACTTCTTAGTTGATGTTCCTTATACTTACCTTATTTATCGTTTTGTTAAACCAACAAATCTTGCTCGATATGTTAAACATGGAGAAGGTGAGATATTATTTAAAATTTGCTAAAAATAATTACTTTGTTCGAGAACTATATTGAAAATTTATGATCGTTATAAAGGAGTTTTAACTGTACCTGGAGGTTTAGACATCATAGGATATATAGATACGAAGTATGCAAATAAATCAGATGATTATCCCGATATCGAGATAAATTTTTACTCTTACGGTGCAGCAGCTGATAGAGGGCAATTTTTTCGTCATGTTCTCGGATTCAAGAAAGAGGTCAGTTCATTTAAGTTCCAAATATTAAATATATAAAATGCCGTGAGAAAATTTTGCACTAATATTTGTGCAGACATGGGAACGTTGTTATAAACCATTTTCATACCGAGACGCGTTTGGTATATTACCTATTTTGCTCCGTCCAAAAAGCCGAGGGTATATAAAATTAAGGAGTGCGAATCCTCATGACCATCCCATCATCCAACCTAATTATTTTTCTCGTTTTGAAGATGTTCTAGTTCAAGTTGAAGGTAAGAAATGCCTTTATAATAAAAATAATTTTAAATGTAAATAATATTATGAAATAAATTACATATCATTTGTATGATTTAGCCCTGAAAGAAATTCTCAGATTAGGCAACTCAATAGCGTTAAAAAAATACGGAGCTCGAATATTTCCAAGAAGAATTCCTGGATGCGAAAAATACGTACAATTTAGTGATGAAGATTTGCACTGCATAGTAAGAACTTTAAGTACGACGGGATATCATCCGGTAGGAACATGTAAAATGGGAGCAATTGAAGATCCAACTACAGTAGTGGATCCCATGCTTAGGTTTGATATTATGGTTAAATCACTAATTTAAAATTTTGGAATTTATCATTACAAACACTATTGAAATGTTTTTTTTTTTTTTAATATTTATGCATACTTAGGCCTTGTATCAGAGTCGGGATTTATTAAAAATATTACATGGAACGAAGTAATCACTAGGTAGATTCCGTAATCCTTTTTATTTTTCCCAATCACATTTCGAATAACTTTTTCCTTTATGAGTGGACACAAAAGGTTTTCTTCCGTACAGTATTTACAAGCTAAACTTATTCAAAAAGAGTTTTAATAATATAAGAAGTTACATAAAATATATTACATTAATTATAAAAAAGAAACTTTAACTATAATGCTATATAAAATCAAAATTTATATTTACAATGTTGTAGTTTTACTTCCTCAAAAGATTTAGTCTTTCACTACTTTTTTTTATGACTTAACTTACTATTAACTTACATGGGTGATTTTAGTTATTATTATTTACAATATTTTGATAATTTAAAATGTATCTTACTTCTGATTCATATTGCAATATTTCAATTTAACATTCGCTTAGTCTTATTTCGACGTGACACCATTTAATCTATTCCTCCTTTGACAAAAGTTTAAACTAAATAACTTAATAAACAGGATGGAGACATAGAAGTCATGTGTCATATCCAGTGTGGTCGGACTCACAGTAGAGCCTCGATTATCTGACCCCCTATCAACCGACCGTCCTAGTAGGCAAATTTCAAATGTCCCCCAATGAAGGGGCCCCAAAAAAATTGGCCAAGGCCTGGCCAACTTAAAAATAATTTTAACGGGTTTAACCGGCAAAAACGGAACCACCATGAAAGGGAGCCAGTATTTAAACGAGGCTTAACTTTCTAATTTTTAACGATACAATAGCGATGATTATTATTTTAAAAAATTTTTGTTAGGCTTAATATCGATGAAAATTCAACGCAAAGTAGGTTAATAGCGATATACTAATATACTAATTACATGGGATATAATAATATACTACACCAATAATAGATTTTTTCATACTTTTCGGTTATCCGCGTTTTTAATTATCCGACCAACCCCAGTCCCCAATTAGGTCGGATAATCGAGGCTCTACTGTTATGACTATTTTACTCGTTATGAGCGTTCAGAATTTATACACTTCGCTTTTTTGTAAACGTCATCAAGTATTGTGTTCCAGGATTGGTGGAAGATAGAATAAAAATTAACAAGAAAGAGTCTAATAATTACAAAAGGCAATTATACGAACTTATAAACATAAAGAGAGAAAAAAATAAAATAAATACAGTAATAATTTAGGACGAATAATCCACCAATCCTGGAGCACCATACTTGATGACGTTTACAAAAAAACGAAGTGTATAAATGGTTCATAGACTCGGCTTATTTTACTGTTGTTAACTTGTTGCGAACGAAACCTTAAAGTGAGATTTAAAAGTTATTACAAGATATTGTACGTTTTTAATCATTTCAGTCTTTATTTAATTTACTTATTTACAAGTGAAAATTACTACAGGTGATGTAATAAAAAAAATTGTTTTTTCTGTACTAATTCTCATTCTTGTGTCAATATCTAAACACCAGTGTAAATTCCTAGTAATAATAATGTCCATGTAGACAATTAAAAAGAACCTGATTCGAAAATGTATTTGGGAAAAAATAAAAAGAATTACGAAATCTACCTTGTTATTACTTCGTTCCACGCAATACATGTAATAAATCTGGAATTTGATACAAGGATCAAATACTCATTAATACTAAAAGACAATATTAAAGACAAGAAGTAGCTTCTTGTTCCTAATTCTATTTTTAAAAATTGTTTTACAGGGTAAAAGGAGTATCGAGATTAAGAGTTGTTGATGCATCAATTATACCAACTATCATTTCAGGAAATACAAATGCTGCGGCAATTATGATCGGTGAAAAAGCATCTGATATGATTCGAGAAAGTTCATATTTTTATAACTAATTTAGAATATCGTTTACATTATATTCGAAAACTTTTCCTTATTAAACTGAGATGTGTTTTACTCTGATAACGAGAAGAAACATTGGTTCTTATTTTCTTCTTCCAAATTCTTCAAAATTATCTTTTGATGTAAATTTAAAATTGAAATTTTATTTTAATCATTTATGGGGTATTTAAGATTATTTTAAAGGTAATTTGAATACTTAAAGACATCAAAATAATTTTTACTACATGAACACTAGGATATATATTTTTTTCATTAAAATTATATGCTATAAAACGAAAACATTCGATCAATTGGATAGAATATTTTTCTAATCGATATTGCCTATAAATATTGTTTAGAAATAATGATAACAATTATTTAATACAAATAATATAATTAATTTTGACTGTATTTACAGAATTATTTAATAAAAATAATACATTAGAAGATATTCTGACAGTTTTAAAATTCACAGAATAAGAAAGTAATATTAATGTATTGAAAAACTGTGCTGTTTTTATTACATTTAGACTAATTTTTTCATAATTTGTCACTACCATGGACACTAAACGGGCTTTTTAAATCATATTCGACATAGAATGTTCCACTAAGTATAAAGGATAGTAGCTGACGGTCTCGGAAAGATCGCGAGTGAAAATTCCTAGGAGCTGGATGCGATCCCGACTTCTCAGATTGGCTGGCTGAGGATTTAATTACTTTGACCAACTCATCTCCATTAATACATTCTATTTAAATTTTTACTTAACTCGTTTATTGATAATTTCTCTAAGACGTACGTCGCATAAAATCGTGTCATTCTGAATGATTAATTAGTCGCCTTTGAGTTACTGTCCTCGTATAAATTTACGCATTTTAGAATTTCAACGATTGCTTAATTTATTCAACAAATAGATAAAAAATTCATAACGTGTCTTTATTTTAAAAAAGAATTCTCATACTGCAGTATCAAGATTGATATGTTTTTAACTATCATGTTTTTGAAATGAATTGCATATTATGTTAATATACGCTTCTATTAAATTGTGAGAATCAGGATTTAGGGGCCCATTATTTTAAAAGAAATTAGCGGTAAAACGAACGAACTAATTTCAATTTCAATTAGAAAATATTTTATAACTTTGATAATTCACAAAGGATGTACAATTCTTTCATTTCTACGAGAGAGGGGAAGTTGAACTTCCTTTAGTCGGCCGACTTGCGAGATGATTCAGATTAGGCCTTTGCACACGTTACTTGGCCGACTGAAGAAGCCGATTCAAAAAGGTCTTTTTACCCGCCATTCTGGGTAGTCCATCGAAAGAAGGTTACCATATAGAACTTGGGTAGTCTATAGAAAATTGCCATACAAACTACGAGCAGTTCAACAAATTTCGAACATGCCATAGCAGGTAGTCCATTCAGAAGGAAATTACCATACAGAAATAGTCCATATTTTGAGTAGCGCGCACATAAATGTTACGATTCCCAACCTTCTCCCATATTCCGAAAAAAAAAATGATTGAAGACAAGAATAAGTTTAGTATTGTGAAGGTAGTATAATTGTATAATGTAGATTGATGTAAACTCTCTCTTACGTGTAGATTAATATTAAGTTGATAGTTTGATCTCTCCGCGAGATAGGTCGTCATAAATAATAATATTGTAATCCATCATTTGTATTTTCATTCCGTTTGTTTTCATTAAATAATTTATGTTATTTAAATATGGTTTCCTTAATGACTGAATCTAAAGCTTACGTCAACTCCACATATTTGCGACCCTCCATTCGATATCCCTCGCGAACGTGTGATAGCCCGCGTAATTGACTATCTGGTGTCGGGAATCCTGACGCATGAGACGGATTATTACGAGATCATCTCTTTCCGCATTCTTCCATTCATACAAAGCCATCCGTTTGACGACCGAGGGCTAGTCTCACCGACTAGCTGCCGAGTAAGCGATACATAAGTTCCACCAACTTCGTACCACCGACTAGCAACTCACAAAACTGTAAATGTAAACAATGTACACTACATACTATATTTATTTTCAAATATGTATCTTCATTAATTAAATTTGTAAATTTACATCAAATCTTTGTTAAATAATTTGTTAATTTGTTAAGTTGTATTTCAATCGACTTTATAAAACATTTAGGTAATTTTTAACTTTTTTATTTCGTTGAAAACGCGCTCGTTACTTGTGACAGTTACTGAAAATGTTGAACGTACAGTACGATTCGCTGCAAGCAGAAAAAGCAAAGACGCTGTCCAGGTAATGGAAGGCAGTGTTAATTTTACTGACCAATATCCCAGAGAGTGAAAAATATATTTAATCGGTTCATTTATATATACATATATATATAAATCATAATTCTTTGTCTTTTTTGCAATATGTGTCTTATGAGGTAATATGACAGAGGATTTTTTAGTCTCTGGGTGCAATACCCTTCCACATCCACTAAAAGAAACTAATGGATGGATAGAACACATTCGATTTGAAATTGATAGTAAAGTTCAATATCCTATCACGTTGAGTCATACCAATTGATTGGTGAGCTTGATAGTTTAACACGTAATTCTGCTTGTTGTACAAGTTTAACTTTTGAACTTTGGCCACAAACTCTAATTAAATTGTTCGGTATGTAATGAAACTGACGGTATTTGTTCACAAAATACTGTCGCTGACAATAAAACACATAAACAGATTCAATGACAGGAAATATCTCTTGTATTACTTATTCTTTATTTCATAATCTTAACTAAATAATACATTTATTTAACCGCTATATTTTATTTTCTTCTGAACAATACATTTTGTAAAAAAAAGTGTTTGGGTGTTTGATTCGTGGAGGAAAAGATGGTATTATGGAACCCTATTTTAATTTTAGTGAATTGTAAACAAGATATCATAACCACACCCACATTTCTTGTGCGAAAAGTACTGGTAACTATTAAACTAAATGTTCCTAATTGGATTTTTTGCTAGTGTAATTATAAGTATGGTTTTTGAAGGCTTCTGTACAAAAAGTCAGAAAGTAGACTTAGGGAAAAACGGGTGGTAATATGGAACCTTGCTGTGTGTTTTTAAAAAATGCTTTAATGTAGCCAAAAACGAATAGAAAAGTACAAAGAATGTTAAATAATTACAAAAGTATTTACTCTAATGTATTTTATCGAAAAAATGCTTTTATAATAGAAAAATATGACCTCCATCAACAATATATATTCCAGCAGCTCTTTTTCGATATTTTCAGGAAGAATTGACTTTCTACCTAGTGTCTTTTTCCCGAATTGCTCCGGACGAATGTCTGATTACAAAGAGAGAGTTCGGAGGAGTTGGATTCCATATTAAAAGCACTAATGGGATCCGTATTTCACGCATTGCATTTTGAATTAACTTATGTCTGTCAAGACTAAACTTTAAAAAACGTGAACATCACACAGATTAGTATGTACCCCTACGTCTCTGGAACAGAATACATGCACCATGAACCTACAATTACACGATTTATATTTTAGAAATAATTAACTTCACTTAGCATTCAAAACTTTCGAATTTTGAAAAACACAAATTTGCTGATTCACTGCGGACAACCGTTTAACTGAAGTGAAACGGATTTTCCCCTTGCTATGGATGTCTGCCTAGTTCAGTTCAGCCACAATCCGCTACAGTCCGCCATTATTACCAGTTCGAAATGAAGTGGTTCCATAATACCTGCAGTGTTCCATAATACCACCTTTTCCTCTATATTTAATATATTTAAAAAAAAACAAAATCACTGAAAAATTTTACGTGTGTTTAACAAGGTTCGAAAAACTTTGAAAATGTTAACAACGGAACCCGTTAACATTTTTAACAAGCCGAACCTGTGCGAACCCACTGAATATCACCACTGCTTAAGCGAAAAAATCCGATATTATTAGAAAATGTGGTGATTGGTTTAACATTCATGGTGTTTTTTAGTCAAGTCCAGAACTGTAACTAGGATTTTAGACGCCTACGGCCTAGAAGAAAAATGGTGCCTTTTTAATTTTTATTATTAAATTAAAAAAATTAATAATTTTATTCTAAAAAGTGCTAATATTAAAAATTATCTAATGACATCTAAATTCTATATAAATATAAATATAAAAAATTTTTGTGTTATTAATTTCGAACACATATTATTCCGAAACTTTTCTTAAATTGGCGCCTATGGCAGAGCCACTTTGGCCATATCCTATTTACGACTCTGCTCAAGTTGATTGTTTTTATATAAAGACTATAAAACTCATAAGTGACAACATCCGGTTTGCGAGTGATAAGGATGGCACTTAATTTTCTGAGAGGCTGGGAATCGAATATAAACGGGTAAAATCATCCCAGAAATTTTTCAAAGCATAATTGATTACCACATCTTGGGTCCCCTTTCTCACCAACATTCAGCCCATTGTGGGCCTGGCCGCATTGATAAAAAACAGATCTGACAAAATCCATAGTGGACGTGATAAAATCAGAACCTTCTTAGTGCTCACAGAGCGGATTTTTTAATAAAATGTCCACTATATATACCAATTATAATTTAACAAATAAATAACAAGCAACAGTAATTATGCTCACATAAGATTTATTTTCCAATATCAGTAAAATGCAAATCATTACATATTTTCAAAAGTTGATTTTGTTTACTTTCCTATAACATTACAAAATTCCTTTGTAGGTATATTATCAGAAAGACCGTAACACCAACAATAGTAAGACCAAGAACATAATCCACCTTCAGCTTTTACGGATTTGCAGCCATGGTCACAATATGAGGATTTTTCACATCTAATTCTACAACCGTTTTGATCCACTGGATAATCGTTTTTCACACAATTTACATCTAAATAAATATAAAACAGTCTTTATACATTTAAGTTGAATCATTGTTTTACCTAAATTATATGGGTTGAATCAGATAAGTAGCTACACTCCTGATCTCATGGTGCTCTTTACACTATTTGATTTACTGGAGACAGAATAGAATTTGCAAGTGAATTATAATTAATTACATTTATAGTAAACCACATTTATTTTATTGCTTAAAACTTCTTTCCAGGAAAATATATCAAATAGTGT